GCAGCTAATGGTGGGTTTAATTTTTTCCTCAGCTCGTCTGCACAATATAATCAACCCTTTTACTGTAGATCTACAGGAAGACGAGCTTGAATCTCCTGGTCATAATGAAATGTTTTGTATGTCTTTTAATTAGAAAAGCAGCGTCAAAGAGAGAGAGGTGAAGTACAAGTGGGAAGGACATACATATCTATATATATAACATTAAGTGGTGCCAGATAACTTGTACTTGTTTTCTATGTTATGCGTATAATTATATTTGTACGCATGTCTGAGGGCAAGTTTTTATTCAGAAAAAGACCCGATGAGGAGCTGAGTGGAGCTCTTGAAAAGAGAAGAAGAGAAAGTAGCATGAAAAGAGGCACAAAAAGAGAAACCGAGATAAATATCTGAGGATTAAAGAAATAGGAATAACAAGGACGGAAGAAGAAAGAAAGGGATTTTCATAGAGTGTGTTTCTTGAATGGATTTGCAGAGAATAAAACTTTATCAGATGGATTTGCGAGAGTGTATCAGCGGTTCTGGGAATACGTAGGTGAGCTCCGTGTAATGTTGACGTCGGGATAAAGGTATTACATGAAATGAGCTAAAGTACTGTAGGCAGAAAAGAGCAGATTAAGTGGTGTAATTTGAAAGAGAATGGGTGTAGCAAGAAAATGTGGTTTCCTCTCTCACCCCAAAAATAAGAGTCATGAAAGGGAAGGGATTTGAGATAAAGTAGCTCAGCTAAGAATGACAGATAAGAGAGCATGAGATGTACAGTGTCTTAGCGTCTTTGGAGGATAATTCGAGTACAACTTGTGTCTAATGTTCCCAGCTTTTTCCAGTCGAGATAACACAGTTCCTTGTATCTGAAGGAGTGTGCCAATGAAATTTGTAGAGCAGGAAACACAAGTGTTCCCATGATCATACCGATAAAAGTCAACAGTTTAACTAGATAACCTAATCTGAATTATGTGAAGTGCATCGACTCGGCCCTTTGACGGATGTCTTTGATTCCAGGGTGTCCGCATAAATAAACAGTCTGCCATAAAGCCTCGTGTTTTTTATTATTGTGTTTTACTTTGTACTTTTCCACTGAACTGATGTAACTCTCTGGATGTTTTCATTTCACCAGAACAGTGTGACATTTAGCTTGATAAGCAGAAACCCGATGAACCACAAAGCTCTTTTTATTCTGGTGAACAGGTCTGCTGAAGTAGATGTAGATGTAAATGGTGGTTGGCCTGTTCATGTCAGAGATAATTGGCCAATGACACTCAGTTGCGTCGAAGTCCAAGAAGATAAATGTGAAACACACCCGGATATGGGTACTTGTTGTGATGGAAATCCCCAGAGCTCTGTCGTTCTGAGTTCTGCGCTGTATTATTTAACATGTGGCCTAAATTGATGTTATAGCTAAGAACTGAAGATTACTCTGGTTTGTTTGTTCTTGGGCTTCCAACGAGGAATGGCCACGATTAATCGATGATTAATTGATTGTTAAGAATTACGTTAATCATGCAAAATTTCGATCGATCTAATGTTATTTAAAAAGGTTTGAGAGTGTGCGTCTATCCTGCAGCTGCTTTCCAGCAAAGATCAACCTCTGCCGATCAGGAGGGATCCCCTCTCTGTCCAGTCAGTGTGTGTGTGTGTGTGTTAAAGAAATGCAGTGACTATCACCGTGTGGAAGGATTTTGGTATTTAATAGGGGAGTGATACAGCGTCAGCAGGCTTCCCTAGAAGTCGAAAAAAAAAAAAAAACATGAAGAAAAAAAGGAATCATTGTGTGGGACTACATCGAGCGCACACTGCGATGCCATGAACTAGTAAAACGCGACAACGACCCCAATGATGTACCACTTTAACCCTATACATCCAACTGATGTAAATGAGTGCTCTCAGTCTCAACCTACCATCAGCTCCTTGCTCGCACTAGCAAGGAGAATCTGAAGGGTGACCAGACGTCCCCAATTTCGTGGGGACAGTCCCAGTTTTGGATGACCTGTCCCCGAAAATGTCCATAATTTAGCTCGCCGTGCAGGTAGAAAGTGCGAGTGAGCATGTAGCACACAGTCCTGAACAACAGCTGTTTGGGTGGTTTTTCAATGAGAAAAAACAGATTTTTTGGCATTTTTTCTGCCATTCACATAAAAACATGATCAAATCAATGATTGATTGTTAATTTATATGATTTATCAATCAAGGGACTTTCTTAAAATGCCCATTCCTATATCCAACTAAGAATCAGGTGAACACTAGCCCTAGATTTTTGTGCTTAAGGTTTGTGCATTATTCACAAGGGTGCATGATATTATTAAAACATTCTTTCTTTCTGTGAAATAAACACTTTTTGGGTACTTAAGAGGCCAAAGAGAGGATTTAGAGAAAGTTAAGCAGAAAGCCAAATGAAGAGCTTTGCTGGTAACTTCATTAATATGATAACTTTCAAGGATGTTCATTTAGAATAAAACATAGTGTTAGAAAATAAGGCACTCACTAAAAAGACAAAAAGACTGGGCTTTTACTTTGAAAAACCCCCAGGAAGTGAAACCATATTTTACATCTCATGCCTGGGAAATGTTTGATGGTGGTTGTCGCAGATATTATATACAAAGCCAATTAACTATTGCATTACGTGTCAACGGGCAAGCTCTCTCTTCTCGAGATTCTTGCCAGTAGATTGAAGCTCTGACTGGCGAGCTGAAATGAAAATCGCTGAAATTTGCTGAGCGTGTGAAGCCTGAATGAGCCGTGGTCTTGGATGAAACACATCGGCACATCAGAGCAGAGACACTACAGAGACATTGCTAACAAAAGGTGTGCACACAACAGAAATGCCATTTGCCTAATTCTTCTGGAGTGGCAGTGGGTCAGGTTGCCACTCCTCATCCGTCATTTTTGACGTTAGCTGACACGCAGGTTGCAAGCACAGCTGTCAGTTGTTGGTGTATTCAAATAAAGGCCTGCATTAATGCGACACCAGGCAGACATTCACATAGATTAATCCTAGAGAATGAGAAACTGTTGACAGCATGACATGTTTGAAATTGCGTGACTGACAAAACGTGCGCAGAATGCAATTGCAATGATTAAATGATATATCGCTCAGCCCACGCAGTATAAAAAGTATTGAATGTCAAAGTTAAACCAGAATTTGCAACTTGGAAAATATTTGCGCCATTTATCTTTGTTTAATCTTTTGATTACATTTGGAGAACTGGAGGGCTGTTTACCTCCTGTCGACTGACTCACATCTTGGCCCATCTGAGGCCTTTGTAGCGACGTTGTTGTTATCTTTCCAGACTTTTTAGTGTCGTTGTCGTATTACAGATTAAAAAACAAAGATGGCCAAAAACATAAAATCAGACCAAATTAAAGAGGGTTATAAAAGTGGACACTCCTCTAAGAAAGAGTAAATCAGAGAGCCGCTGCCCAAAGGAGAGAGGAGTGGTTGACATGGTGTGTTGAAGTGATAAACGCTGCCCGTCAGATTTAGACATGGGGTCATGCAGGTGAGAGCAAAGCGGTGCGATCACACCTGTTCTCCAAGGTCAAGTGAGTTTACACCTTCTTTCATGGATGTATGCCAAGCCAACTGTAACAGCACCTTCTGCTCTTTGACAGTCTGTTATTGACGGGTTGGGATTCCATTGCAACATTTTCTGCAATCCTCGATACCCAGGCCGTCTGCAGACTTTTCATCCATCCAGCTATTATTAGCCGCTGAAATTCACATGGACCTCTGGGTGATGAGGGATTGCCATTGTTCCGTCTCTCGCTCCGCGGTTCATGTACTGCTTCCTTTTCATTATGGCCCAAAGAGATAATGCTACTCAAACAAACCCTAACCGCCCCGTTCCTTCATTTGCTCTCGTCATTATCGAAGCGACTGATTGTGCTGCCGAGCCCCCCCAACCCTGTCTGACTCACCCTCCTTTTCCGTTATAAGAGGCGCTCTTTGCACTCAGCCACAGGCCATTAAAGTTGTCCCACAGCAATAAGCCTTTGTCTGTGTGACCAAACAGTTGATGCTTGATAAGCGTAATCCTGGCCTGTGTTTTAGTCCCCTGAATGGTGCTGTGTGGGCTGCGAGGCCCTTCACAAAGCAGCTAGCACTAAATTGCTCACTCTTGCTTGCCTTTTGTCTCTGGATTTGTGCAACACTTTAAACCGCTTTGCAGTTCTGAGGGCAGTGGCCTCTGTGGGATGGAGTTTACTGAGGACTGGGTGACCACACAAGGCCTGAATATTGTCCAGTTACGGTATATTTGCTCGTCACACAGAGGAAATGAACCATTGTTACTTTGCGCAGCACAGAATAGGTCTCTGAGCAGTTCTTGGAGGTTTTTCATTTTAGGATGAATCACAACATCATTCAAGATAATGAGCATAGTTCTTTTTTAGTTTTGTACACTTATCTAAAAGTGCGCTGGCAGCTAATTTGTTTTTGATTAGAAACAGAAGGGAGACGGACAGACAGAACCGAATCATAAAACAACTTCACAACAGCATTGAATAAAGTCACTTGGTTTTATAAACTACACTTCAACTTGATGAATAAACTACATCTGATGTACAGTATTTGCTTCCTGGCTGCTGTGCATTTTATACTGGAAATAGCAGTCACACTTTGTTAACACGAGTATCAATATCTGTTTTGCTCTCTGGTGCTGCTTTGAAGCTCCCGCAGAAAGTTTGCAGCTGGTTTTGAAACAAACCGAAACTGAAGTTTTCATGACCCACAAAAGAAAAGCGGACTATTAAAGGTGGGGGAGGAAGGAATCCGTTAAAGAAGCATCTTTTTTTTGTGTGGTGTATATACAAAAAAGCTTTTAATATCAGTCAATAGCTATTAGTTATTGATGAAATTACGGAATGTAATGATATCGCTGTGTTTTGTTGTGTCTGTGTAGTCAATATTTTAAATTTTTCAAGGGCCCGCTCTTTCTGACTGTAAACAAAGCCATTCTCCACCTCCCCCAACCTGATTGGTTGTGAGGCGGATGCTGCTCCCCCGAGTCCTTCATGAGCCCAAACAAAGTTAGCGTGCTACAATATTAGACAGTAGAAACCAACCAGAAAGTTCGGAAAACTGTCTGAATCCTCCTTTGGCCACGACTGCTAACACAAGCAAGAAAACAAAGTAAATACCGGAGACTCTGGAGGAATAACTGGCGCCTAAAACGGAGGTAGACCGGACAAGAGCTAAAAAGCTGGGTCAACATAAACGATGGGGGACGCTTGGGGATCTTGGTGACCCTGTAACCTTTCTGCTGGACAGGTAAACTGCTTTAACAAAGTAAGACAAGTGTCGGTAACAGAAGTGTTTCTTGTCAAACGGACCTGCTGTAGCGTGTTGTGGCGCCGCTAAACTGTTGACCTCGGGTCCTGGACTATGTCACTTTATCCTCGTTGTAGAAGTCCTGCAAACATTGTGTTTGCTGGTAGTCTGTTGGCATCTACAGTAGCACCAATGCTTTTGACTTTCACCTTGACTGGGCCCCATTTGTAATGATCTGAAGTATTTATCTGCATTATATCTGAATTTAGTTGGAACGATACAAGCGAGCAGGAGCGTCTGTTGGTGGGCGGGGCTTGCTGGAGCAGAGAGGGAGGGGAGAGGAGGAGCTGAGGGGAAAACTGGTTGTGAGGGGTAGAGTTTACATTCAAGATTTCTCCCAAAAACTGGCACTTCCTCAGATCCTGACTGTTCATCTTTAAGACTGACAAGTTTTCTGTGATACTGTTTTTAATGCTTGTGCCTTTTGGTAATGAGGGACCACACGACTGAAGCAGCCTTTGTTGACATCAGCCGAAGACCTGATTTGTTCACAATCAAAGAATGATAAAAGTTCCTTACAGGAGCTTTCAATGGAGTATCAGAAAGTTGGCGTATTGCTTTGACATTGTAATCAATAACAATAATCTGCTGGTTTCAGGTAAAATAAAAATAACAAACAACACAATGTCCTGCAGTTAGAGAGTGCGATGCCTGCCAAACAGAGTTCAGCTATCAGTTTTTTTATATTCATTTTATTCACATATTTTTAAATCACAATACTATCAGATTGGCTTTTTGTCTGAGTCCAAAAATTGGAATTTGTATTAGAACAAGAAAATGTTATTGAAACATTTCCATTCTGATTTTGATTACAGCTGTCATGATCATCACATAAGTTATTTATTTAAATTTTTTACTTTTTTAGAGGATGCATCGTTGTTTTCTTTCTTCCCTGAGAAGAATGTAAAATATGTTTCTCACAATAAATTGGTTCGTACGGTACATCTGTTATTTATAAAGTTAATACAAACCCAACTTCTCAAGTCTAATCATGAAAGAGGGGGACTAGTCCAATACACAGCGACTATGTCTGCCCACTCACTGTTAAAACTGTGCAAGTGTGTTGCTGACAGGGAAAATAATCATGTTCTCAGTCTGTTTCTGCACATGCTCAGAACATAGTCTTCTCACAGGCTGCAAAGTTACTCTAAGGATCATGCAAATGTTGTTTGCATGTCAGTGTTGTTTGATCTGCGTGCACAGCTCTTCGAGGTCCCAGTCTGTGAATCTTGCAAGTTTGTGCATAAAAAAAAAACAGTCAACAAAAAGCAACCATACCCTCCCTCTTCCTGTTCCTGAAAGTGATTTAACACCTTTTCCCTTTCTCTTTCACCTTCAAGCTACAACATGGTCCTCCACACCCAACTAGCTTTAGCCACAATCCCATTAATTGTATATGCACTCAAAGGGGACACAGCCTAGTTGGATTAATTGGCCTTCACTATGCAAAGCAGGCTCACTGTAAGAGGAATTAAATACCAAGGAGGCACGATGAGTGATTACCAAAACATTTCACTGCCTGCTCAAAGTTTTTCAGGAAATGATCTCATTGTGTGTTATTCTTTGTTTCGGAGCTGTCATCGGTGTCAGGATGAATCCAATCTGTCGGCTCTGACAGTGGCTGAAATGGTGAAAATGTCTTATTTTGTCTCCGTCTGAGATGTCAAAGTATGTCAACATTCTCAGCCATCACTCACTTCCCATTTATGCAAACACAAGCCGAGCTAATGCTTCCTATATGTCCCCTCTGGGTTCCCATACATCAGTCCTCCACCCATGGGAGAGGTTCGGGGAGGGTGGGGTGATTTATTATAGAAAAGTATAAAGGGGTGAGGTAAGGTAGGAAATATTTTTCTCCGGTATTTCTTCATCTGTGCGGCAAGAAACTTGGGTTAATGTGGCTCTGATAAACATACACTGAATATTTTCACAGCAGCACGTGGAGATCAAATGCAAACATGTGCATAAAACACAAACAATGAGTAGAATATGAGCAGTTAAATTTAGTATTTTAGGACTGTTTGTTGGGAAATGTAAGCAAACAAGACTATAACTGGATTGTATTTTGTGGCAACAATTATTGGACAAAGATGGAATTATGTTGTCCCCTTTATTTTTCTTTTTATGTCCAGTGTTGGCTTAAATGCAGAAAAATACCAGGCTAGTCCATAGACATTTCTTTAAACCTGAATGTGTTGAATAGATGATTTCCCTTTCTATTATTTTACACATCTGTAGGGAGGCTTCACGATTCTGGCCAAAAATAAAATCCAGATTTTTTTCACTGAAAACTTGATTTTCGATTTTTTTATTCAGTGACAACTTCACTAAACTTCACTTCAAAAATAAAGTTTTTCTATCTTCTCTCAAAATGAAACCGCTGAAAACGATGTAGTGCATATGCCAAGCCAATAAGTAGCGCTGTAACGCTGCAGAGGAAATGCACAAAAGACAGAAGAAGAGTACAGAGCATGAGTATAAAGGTTGTTTTGACCGGACACGTGCAGGCGCCATAAAAGAGTTACGCTGTGTGTCACATGATCGTTTCCAGAGATGCAGATAGACATCCACACGGAGATGAAATGGTCGGCGTTTACGGATTTATTCACTCGCTGACCCGTTTTCAAAAAGTACCGTTTACAGTCACCAGAAATGCAGCTTGCTTGTGGATGAAACGCCGATATGACAAAAATTTTTGCTTTTACTCCTGAATTCGTTTCCGTGGTGACGGGTTGATACCGCCTTCAGACAGACTTTGCAGCGGGGAGTGGTTTGCTCTTCATCTGAAACTGTGAAGTCGTACCAATTCAACACGACTGACTCGCTCTTGTCCTATTTAACCACTAAATTATCTCCTTCTTTTACAAACGCCATGTTTGTTTACATTAGTGTGTGTGGGAACTGGGGAGCACTCCTGCAGGAAGGGGGAGTCTACGGTGGCCTGGAGGCGCAAGACATGATGGAGAGGAAAATCGATTTGACGATTTTAATTATTTTAACACCGTCATAATCAAATAATCGATTATGATGTAAAATCAATTAATCATGCAGCCCTAATCTGTAAAATAGACTATTATGGATTATACAAAGCGATGTTGTTCACACAGTGACTCAATCCACTGACACCGGTGAACAAACTGTGTGTCGTGTGATAAACAGGTTAGTGTTAGAAATCACAGCACAGCTCCAGCCAGTACAAAACAAAAGTACCTCATATATCCGTGGAATGCCTGCAATAACTGAATGCTATGAATAATGTACAGCATACAGTACACAATAAATAAGCAATGAGTTTCTTTTGACCGGTCTCGCGTGTCTCTCAACTATCCTTGGATTTTGCGAAAGGTTGCACATTCATCAAAGTGGCCGGCACAACAAGAAAGGTCAAGGTTGATGTTTTCCTCCTTTGTTTTAGGCCCGTCAGGCAGATAACAGAAACAAAAATCTGGATAAATAGTGCATGATGGGAAATCACCTGTCTTACGCTGTGAATGGATAACAGCTGTTCTTTGTGTGTGAAAATGGGTTGCAGAGGTATCGCTGTGGTTTTACAAATAGTGTTAAGCTGCAGACAAAGACCTGAAAACAGAAGAGTGAGAGCACTCCTGGAAAAAAAACATGTTACACAGCTTCAAGTACAACAAGTGTGCCTCTCTAAGCTTTATACTGAATCACACTGAGGAAGAGGGAAACAGCACCTGTAACAAATGTATAATGAGCCTAATGATGTATAATTAGCATTTGATTCTCCCTATTCTCGACATCTGCCACTTTTTTTTTATCTGCAACCAACTCTAATGCACTCTAGATTGTTGTCTCGTTTATTTACTACAACAAAAATGACCTCATATAGCCCAAAATTTTCCATCATGGCTTTCAGTTTTTTTCACCAAACTCTGTTGTTGATTTGACAAGAACTGAGGAGAACAAAAGCAGAATCAAAGTTTAATAAGAAACACGCTTTGGCCTGTTTCATAAACTTGCTTTTGGGTTTTTTTGGAGTTCCTTTGTGGTTAAAAAAGTCTGAAGTTTTCTGCAGTATCTGTGTTCATATTTAAGAGGTTTGTCCAGTTTCTCATTGAACATACATCTAGTTTTAAAGAGTGCACTGTAGACCACACCATTAAAACTTGATATTATAGGGATATTTCGGTGTAAATTATCAGTATTTCTGGCGATAAAACAGCATAAAAGAGACTAAACAAAACTCACCCACTCTTCTCCAGCAGCCGCTTGTTTGTGGGAGGGGCCCTGACGAGTCGATCACAGAGTGCAGCGGATCATCTCCATGAAGTAATAATCTTTATAATAATCATTTTACACTGCAGATGCGGTCGTTATTCTACCGTAGCGTCTCAGTCTGTTTGCATTGCCATAAAGTAATGATCATAAATTTTCTTCCTTGAGCTGCGAAACTCCGCTGCACTCAGTGTAGCCAACCCAGCTAGAGCAATGGAGGACTCTCTAGACTGATGGTTTGTCTTTACTTTTTATTTTTTCTTATAAAAAGGGGGTAGTAGTCTGAGACAAACACACCTTAAGAGCTGAGCAAAAGGGAAAAATAATCACAAATTGACAATATTCATGATAAACTGCTAACATAAACTGAGATGAAAATCTGCACCATAATCACATAAAAAAGCATTTCATAATAAGGAAATATTTAAAAAAACAATTAAACCCATTTATCGCAAAACAGTGAGATCCAGTTTATGACACGTCCCCAGTTAACAGGGGGCCCCACGAGCTGAAGGCTTTCGGAGAGGTGAGCTGTGCTAAACACATACCCACACCAGTAACCGCAACATAACCAGAACACACATTTCATGACATGACATCAATAATAAAATGGTCACAACGCCAGCACTCGACGTACCCAAATGATATTAAATTCATACCTTGACCCCTCACTAGCTGGATGCTAAGAGTACAGAGTGAGTGGTGGACATTTCTTCAGCGTGTATGCCCGCCACCATCCTAACTTTTCTACTGCACTTCCTACTTCCTGTCTAATAGCAGACCCTGACCTTCAAAATAAAGGCATCACTTTCCAAATAAATCAGAACCATGCATTTTCCTTTCCGAAACATTTATCCCAAAAAAATGGTTCCTTTACACTCGGTGCTTGACTCGTCAGGGCTCCCCCACAAACAAGCGGCTGCTGGAGGAGAGTGGGTGAGTTGTGTTTAATCTCTTTGCTAAAGAAATTAGTCAAAGCTAAAAAGATGTTTGGTGTCTAGTACTATGGCTGGGACCCTGTATGTCCTGTTGATGAAGTTAGGTGCTGTTTTGAGCATTATTTGTGGCTATAGAGTGGCGTTTGGGTTGAGGTTTGCACATGGAGACGTAGACCACTGTATATTGCTATCATGCAGTCATTGCTGAAGTTGGTTGAACAAGAGAAGCAAGCAGTCAGCAACATTCATCTCTACAGCGGGTGTCTAACTCGGTGTTACAGTGTGTTTTACCAAAATTTAAATTTACGCAGAATATCCCTTTAAACTGCATCATGGCGCCTAATCCATTATTTTTTAACACGAAATAAAGTCATTACTGGAACATTCACTGTGCTAATTTTCACAAAGGGACAGTTAACTCATCATATGCTGCGCACGTATTTAGCTGCTTCACACTGAAAACAAATGCGACTGTCTGGTTAAATTGCGGGCAAAGCGACTTAATCGTCAGCCAAACATCTTTTATTCATTACAATGGCAGCACAGCCTCACAGGTCTTTGGCGCCTGGCAGAGCAGCCCCTGTAATTTAGTGAAAATATAACTCATTGGATGCAACAGCAATGCCATGTTTTCTGCCTGCCTTTTTTTATTGTCAGACACCCTCCAGTGTATCTTCGACTTTCAGGCCCTCTTTATACACACAAAGACTGTAACCTCGGAGACCTCACCAACGTGATTTGCATCATCTTTTCCGCTCGAGTGTCTGTTCCCTTTAAGGTGTTTCTCCTTAAAATGTCATGGCTGCAGTGTCTCAGGATGTTGGGTCTCAGATGGTTGCACTCTGGAGCATTACAGAGTAAATCTGAAACACAGCGGCACACAAACACACACAAATAAAAATTAAAAAATTTAAAAAATCACAGGAAAAAGAGGAAACATGGGCGTTTAGATGATACCCTCAGACTGTACATATTGTGCTATCGGACAGGCAGGATGACTTTAAACATTTATTCACATTTAGTGGTAGTGTACAATGACAGCACCCTTGTATTTACATTTTAATATTTATAGTTTGTCAGAGCGGAAACCATCTGCTCACGGTTTACCTTTCTCACCTCCAGCTGTTCTCACACTGGGACACTGACAGAGCAGGATTCTGAAAGATCCACAGCCTCCATCACCAGTTTCTACTGTAAATCATCAACCAGTTGTCCATTCGGAGTATTAAGCTTTTAGTGTTGAGCACTACTGAAATGAACAGCTTCAGGTCTGTGTCAAACCGACAGAGAATTAGGATGTAAACCAGATGTAACATCACATCTGCTCTGTAATGGAGGCTGTAATTCAAAATGCAAAACAACAAACATTTTTATTAGGAATAGCCCTCATTAGGACTCACACTCTTGCTAAGCCTGGCAGCAGTGCAAGCATGCTTTACACACAGACATAGTAAAAATATTAATATCACTCATTTGGATCACTCATGTTATCATGTCCAATAACATGAGATTGGATGGATGCCGTGAAAGATGCATGCTCCCGTCAGGATGATATAATGTGACTGTGTGTGAGCTGATACCCTAAAGCTGCTCTCCTGTGCATGTTAAAGTCTTCATCCAGCCATTGAGCCGTCAAACCGAGCGCACCTTCTGACCTGTTGTTGTGGATCAGACTGTGAATGTGTGTAGTAGGGATGTAACGGTATGAAAATTCTACCTCACGGTTATTGCACACCTGCCAACATTTAGGTTATAAAATCTGGGAATTTTTACGGTGCGCACCGGGCAGTTTTGGGGTGACCTTGTATGGTGGTTATGAGCTAATTATGAGCGTATTTGTAATTATATTACTCATCCAAATAAGTAAAAGTGAAGCGGCACACTTTTTTGTTTGTTTTAACAATAACAAATAGTAATAAAAAAATAATAGCTAAGATATGTCTTGAACTTATTTAGTTCACTAATATTGGTGTTAAAGTCCTCATATGTTTTACATGCTCTCTCGTGTGCAATACAATCAACGTAAATATTATATCTTGCGTTTGTTTGCCTTTCATCGAAGTGTTCATTTTGAAACAAACACTGATTAAATATAGTTTACAGCTTAAACCGACCTGAATCATCACAAATTGTAAAGTAAAAGTATCAATCCAGTGTCTGTGAGACTCAACAGAAACACAGGACAATCTTCGGTTGTCTGGAAACCTGGCATCTTTGGACAAATATAGTGATCAGATTCATGAATGAACATAGATCATCACACTATGGGAGATTTCCAGGAGAAATGACCATACGGGAGGTGGGCGGGAGATAGGTCTGAAATATGGAAGAGTCCTGGGAAAAACGAGAGTGTTGGCAGGTATGAGTTATTGTGACCAAAATAATAATAGTTTTCAGTATTATCGGGTATTTTTAAAAAATGTATTCAAAAACATTGATTTTTGATGCTAATCAATGCCTTGTTTTCATCATTTGTTCCCTTGACATTCCTACAAAACCCAAAACATGCCCATACTTCTGACTTGGTCCTCTTAGAGGGCTGATGGATGTCTTTGGCGCTGTCTTCTCCTCCTTCCACCATGATTCCTTTTTAAACTTAATAGAAAGTTTAAACGCAAGTCGTACTGTGCAGCTACTTCAGGAGACTCGGCTGAAGCTGGGATGATTAACGTAGAGTTTCCCCTACATGCAATTCATCATGGCGCATTGCCACGACTAAGATGCCGCCACACCTTTAAAAATGAGTTTTTTCCTATGTGGCTCTACCTCGGATTCAAAAGTATCATTGTGCCGATAATTAGCATTAGCCAGTTATCGTCGGCGATCACGCAGCTGATTCATTAGCAAGTTTTTGGTGGCAATCTCACAGCTGATTCATTACACTCCCCCCAAACCAGTTTTTGAAATGAAAACGGTAATCGTTTACCAATACACTGGTTACTGTTACATCCATAGTGTGTTGGGATTACAAGTAGGAATATGTCTGCTAAGTAGCTACAAAAGACTTGAGTAAAAAACTGGGAATTGCGTCAAAACACATGGCTCATACTTAGCAAATATCAACCAAGTTATCCTTTTCTAAAAAAAAAAAAAAAGTGAAAATCACTCACACCAGTGACGCCACTTTTGATCCCTCTTTCGCTCTTTGCTGCACTTGTTTTTCTTCTCTTCATCATTTTTTTTCTTTGGCCAAGAAATGGTTTGAGACCAAGTTCATGCCAGGCTCATAATATTTCCAGCAGGTGTGAACAGAAGACTACACTCACTGTTACCATGGGGATGTACTTTCTGGTGCACCAAATATTAAAACATGTTAGTGACAGTTGATTCAAAATTCTGCTTTCTAAGTGCTGACTGAAAAAAAAGAGAAGAGCACATGCCACCCCAACCCAACATCTTCGTCCTTTTAAATGGTTAGCGCTTGTGTTGATTAAAAATAAAAACCTTTCATCACTTCTGCGAGGCTCTACTTGGCTGTAGACCAGACCCCCTTTCAGAAAAGCTTTTAGGAAAGGAACCTGGAAGGTCTCTTAAGTCTGCCTGTTCTCCTCTTTTGGCTGCTCCACCAAACAAAAACATTTGGTGAAGGTGCATTAAGCCATAAAGTTCCACGGTATTACAAAAGTCCTTCAGAGGATCTGAGAGGACAGAGAAATACAGATATTTTAGGAGGCTTTTTACACCTACGCTGTCAGGACTTTTCTGTTTGGTCTGAACCAAAATGATAAAACCTCCCCTGGACCTTGGTCTGACCAAACTGAATCACAGTCTGGTTCACGCCCAGTGTGAAAGCATTATTTTGAAAGGTTTGACCCTTCATACCAAAGACAGGAAATGATAGGAGGAGTAGAAATGACTGTTCTTAGGTTGAATGGAGATTGTACAATAACGGGAAATGTTATAATATTGTAGATAAAGTTAAACCTTATTATTGACAGCTTATCTTTTCAAGAGTTTTACCACTCGTACAACTCTCCCAATAGGGCTGGGCGATATGACCAAAATCTTATATCCCAATATATCTTATTTTATATCCTGATAACAATATATATCATGATTTAGATTTTTTTTCCTTTTTGTAAATTTTAGATTATAAATACTTTAAAAATTGCAATGTGGAAACACAGTTTGATACGACGGAGTATTAGGGCCACATTTAGAAAAAAAGACTTCGTCATACTGATGAGAATAAAGTCGAAATAAAATCAGAACTTACGAGAAAAAAGTCGTAGCTAATATTCTAACCTGTTGTTAGTTGTTTAAAAGAGCGCTGTGGAGCATTCAGATGAATTGAACTTCAGTATTTCAGCACCACATTGTCAGAAGTATCAGGACATATGCAAAAAATGCATCTTTTCCGCAGAAAGAACCAGGCGGACTTGTAGGGAATCGCTGTTTTTGAGGAGGGGGAAATGTCTGGAAATGTATGTGCAGAGGCTAAATCCCTCAATGCAGCTGTTTATGGCAATAGCATATGGCTTTAGTTTATTGTATGAATCTATTTGCCATAAGGTGTTGGTGCCTCTGCAGGTGTAGGTCACTGCCGGTGTTGTGCTGGCATCAAAGACAGACGCGGTGCTCGTCAGAGCTCGACTCCCTCTGAATCGTAAATGTTGATCAAAAGTTGGATTATTTCTTTTCTTTTCTTTTGAGAAACTACAAAATCTCTCTGAGTGGCCCACTGATGCACCCACAGATAACTCTGCAGTTGACCAGTTCAGACATTTCCTCCTCCGCATTTATTCTCATAAATAATAATTTTCCTACGACTTTATTCTCTTTAGTAATGACTTTAATTTTGAAGTCTTTTCTTAAATCTGGCCCAAATACTCCATCGTAGTATGATGATAGACACAA